TATCTATCTATCTATCTATCTATCGATCTATGTATTTACACCCGTTTTAAAAAACGTTGCAATTTGAAAATATGTATGAAATATTCACACTTCATTTATTTATTAATTTATTTTTATTTCATTTTTTTTTATTTTTTATTTTATTTTTTTAAATTTTTATATGCACACTTTATTAATTTTTTCCCATCAAAAAGGTGTCATGTTGACAGAATAAATGATTGGGGCAATTTTTCAAAAGGAAAGTACAGTAGTTACTTTCATAATAACAAAAAGGTATTGTTCTATTGCTGTGAAATATACATACATCGTTTATTACCATTTTGATGGGAAAAGAAAAAGTGTGTTTCTATATATCAATATATATTCTCAAGTGGTGGGAGGGTGGTGGAGTTCAGCATTCACTCCTTTGGCCTTATAACTAGCTTAATTATTGCTGGTAATAGATTCTTAATATTTTTGAAAAGACGAGAAGGCGACGTGAATTAGTGTGGCCTTACTTTAGGGAATGGTTTTTAAATAGTGATAAAGACTCCTGTGAGATACTTTGATTTAAAATTGTGATGTTACCTTTTGGCTTTGAAAATCTTGGTTTTTTTCCAGAGACGAAGAACATCAGAGGAATACTCCGTAGTCTGACGACAGTTTCAGTTCAGTTTAATTCAGTTCCATTTTTTTTGTTTTCAGTAAGAAATGGCAATGTATCGTCTCTGGTTGAAAGTAAGAGAACACAATTTTATCGTAGCAGTTTTGTTGTCATCACATATTGCCGTGGCCGCATGATATGAGCGCCGTATTTCTTTTAATGACTGACTCTGTCATGCGCCAACTCAAACATTTGGCGTAAAACCAACTCACTTACCTTATTGAAGTCAAAAGATAGTCAGCTTCGGCGAGTCCATTGTGAGTCGGAACGTAGAAGTACTCAAGATTTTTTTCCTCGTCAATTCTAGTCTTCTCAATAAATTTCGTTCCTCTCTCCATGATGTGAACTTTGTACTCGTTCCAGTCCACTTGTTCCACAATTTTATCCTTTATAATCTATCAAAAATTTATCTGGAAATATGTTAGTGTTTTTTACTGGACACCAGCTTTCAATCATTAAGTCAATTGGCGATTTGTGAGATTGCTGAAGACGGTCTCCTTTACATGGTAAGGGAAAGGTCTTCGCATTAAACTCGCGCGGAAAAATTAATCAATTTTATTAATTGTAAGAGTTGAGCTAAATTCATAGCAAATCTGAACTCGCCTACTAACTCAAAATTGGTTGATTATAATGTAATATAGTATAGTATTAAGTTATAGCGCTATTCAGGTAGTCTTTCATAGCGGTTTAAAATCATCATGCCTAGGTAAAAACTAGAATCCAAAAATAAAAAATATATATAAATACATATATCAAAAATAAAAGTTAAAAGTGATAAACAACTTTAAAAAGATAGGTCGAAATTCTTCGAAGAAATAGTATTTATGGAAATTTTTGAATGCTAAGAGGCAATTCATTCCATAGCTTTGGCGCTGTAGTACTGAATGCCCGGTACTGACTTAACACAGAGAAGATTAAAGCTACTTACCGCAGCAAAACTTGGGTTAAAAATACTGAGATATAAAATCGAAAGGTTTCCAGTCGTAATAAAACCCTGAGTTCGAACGAAAAAGTGAATTAAGATCGCAGTTTCGCGCAGCCTGAGACCACCAAAAACCTTATTATAACGTACAGCTTGGTAGAAATGAGCTGAACATGCTTAAATACACAGGTTTAGGTCTTTGTGAAGACCAACAACGAAGAAGTTCATTGCGATTATAACTTTAAGGAAAGAAAATGCTTTAAACGATTTTAAAACAATTTGCACTCACCATGATAGGTTACAGCCAATAGAATGGCTAAATTTTGTATGCGTTCTTGTCACCTTATGAAAAACTTGCTTTGTGCTTTGCTGCAGAAATGTGCTGGCTTTATGCCGTTTTCAAGGACGTGAAATGAAAACTAATGTAGGGGGCAACATGAGACAAAAACAACTTGAGCAACAGAGAATTTATTTGAATTACTCTCATCGGAGGTTTGTGACGTTATTACTTCTGCTATAGCTTACAGTCCGCAAGTTCCTGTTTTCGCCAGCGAGAAACAATCTTACCTTTAATCTTGAGCACGTGCCTCAGCTTTATGGACAGTCTTTGAGCCATATCTCAAAACACGCAGAATGCCGGTATTTTTTTATATCTCTAACTCACTCCAGTTGATTTTTTTTCCCGGCACACAAAAGGACTTTCACGTTGATTAATTAAGAGATGGAGAAGGCTTGAACTTTGAGTTTTCAAGGAAAAAGGCAACCACGCGATGAGAAAATATAAAATGTTGTACACTTAACCGGTATTTAAGCCCGTTTCGTCCCGTATCGGAATTGTGGAAACGTAGGTACATTTCTTGACTTTGATTATTAACCAGTTTTCTATTGAATAAGTTAAATGAATTATAACCAAATACATTTCAATAAAATTTCGCTTGTATGGTTTTTTTTTAGCTTTATTTTCATGAACTGTTTTGACGTGTCCTAGAGGCTGTAACATAATCACTTGGGGACTTACGTTCACAAACATGTTATCTAGATGTAATCGAGCACGTGTTCGTATTCTAACTTATTGGGAAAGCTTCTCGGCATCTTGACTTTGTGTGCTTAGAGTTATTTAGGGGCTTTGTGAAGAGCATTTTAAATTACTTAACGTGCTTGTTAAGTTACCTCGCGATGAATGTCAATGAGAGCTCTTCAGATCGTGGCTTAATCAATCGGGTTTCTGGCTGATGATAACTCAGGTAGTCCAGGCTCTGTCACAGGCCCTGTCACAGGTTCTTTCACAGTGGATTATTATAGAGTTTGTATAGTGGTTTAGTTGGACTTGCTTTTGAGCTCCGTAAATATAAAGTTGTGTGAAATAATCAAAGAAATAAAGTCTTACCTTCATACATAGTAGTCTGTGTTGTTCTTGCCGCGATTTTGAGGCCATTTTGCTGTTTCAGCTTAACGTCCTACCACTTCTAAAGAAGAGGTGGGACGTTAAGCTGAAACACAGCAAAACGGCCTCAAATCGCGACAAGAACAGCACAGACTACTCTGTATGAAGGTAAGACTTTATTTCTTTGATTATTTCACACAACTTTATATTTACAGAGCTCAAAAGCAAGTCCAACTAAACCACTATACAAACTCTATAATAATCTACTGTGAAAGAGCCTGTGAGAGAGCCTGGGCTACCTGTGATGATAACCCGATCTATGAGCGTTATTGGCGAAGCTTGATGGCCGAATATTGACCGAGTTCTATTTCCGCGTTTTTATTGGCCGAGACGAAGTCTAGGTCCATAAAAACTCTTTAAAAGAACAAGGCTAAAATCTAGCCATCTTGATCGAGCAGGCTTGGTCAATAAGATCCAACTACACTCAGTAGTGTACTCCAGAGAACTGGTTAGACAGGTTGTCTCGCGTCGCGCAAGCAAAGAATTGGAGTTTAATTGTTGAGAATTCACTCAGCAGCGGGGCCCCATCTCGCAAAAGAATATCTTGAAGTTGTGAGAAAATCTAGAGAGGCCGTACCTAAAAATTGTTACACGGGATTTCCCCATAAAATTGGCATAAAAATCGCTATTTTTATGTCGGGCCCACTATTTTAAACTTCAACGCTTTGGTCAGAGGGGTAGATTTGGTATTCAGTGCTCTTAAGGTACCTCGTCATGGTCAGAGCGTAAAAAAAATGTTTTGCAGTCACCTTTATTCAAACTCCTCCCCGCGTCAGAGCGAATGAGGAGATGCTGTTGTCCCATTGGTTTGCGGGTTCAGGAGGCGGTATACAGCGCAAGTTGTTTACGAATCTTTAGGAGCTAAAATCTCGCATTTGATTTTTGGAGAAATACATCCACTTTGAGTGAATTTATAGAGTATTCGGATTTGACCAATTTGTGTCAAATTTCGCCAAAGTATTCCAGGAATAATGACAAACACAGCTGTGTCGGGGTTTTCTGGAAAAACAGGATCAAGGATCATCGGATCACCGGATCACCGGATCACTGGATCTCCGGATCAGTTCAAAATAAATCAAATAAATTAAACAAATTAATAGGCATAATTGATTGCTCAACCACGTGGCTCATTCAAGATCTCCCGTATGCTAAAGCGAAAATAAGAGAGAATACTGAAAAACCCTACCACTTTGTGGAAGTGTCAATTTTCGCCTACCGACTATCGGGACTGCTATTGAAGACTGACAGCTACAGGGCAGGTTTACTTGTGCATATGCTATATTCGCATAAAATTTCTAAATTATCCTGACTGTCGGTAGGTGATTGCGTCTCTGAGTTCCAGTGCAATTTCAAAACACAAAGCCGCTTTTGGCGACTGGGAATTATTTGTTAGATCGACTAATGCTTGGGTAAAAATGCAAAGAATTGGAAAATAATGGCGATTTTGTTTTCCATTGGCCGTGTCTACAAATGTCTAGTGCAGAGGAAAGGTTTGTGTGAATGACAAAAAAAAGGTTCTCCTTGTTAAACCTATCGAGAAACAGAGAATCGGCAAACGTCAAGGTCTCTTATTTTGTCGGAAGTGATCAAAAGTGTGGGACTAACTTTTCTGCCTGCTGTGCTTGCTGGTGACAGAAAAAAGAAAAAACAATTCTTCCTCGTTAGTCGTTAGGTACTTTCTCAAAAAAAAAAAAATCACGTAAGTGCTTCTGAGATTTTCGACTTTTTGCCTCCATGTATACTCCAGGGAACTCACAACAACAACTCATTGGGGCGATACAATTTTAAAACTTTCCGAATCATGTCTCTTGTCAAATCCCGTCGGAAAAACGACTAAAACGTCTTCTTCTAAGCGAGTGATTCTTGAGATGCATTCCATCTGCTTTTCCTTTAAGGATATGAGGTCAGTAAAGATTTGAAGAGATGAAAATTAAAGCATGCTGAAAATTTGCCGTTCACTCCGGCAGTCGCCAAGAACGGCTTCGTGTTTTGAAATTGAACCGGAAGTCAGAGACGCAATCATCTACCGATACTCGGGATAATTTAGAAATTTCATGCGAAAATGGTATATACACAAGCAAATCCGCTCTGTTGCTATCAGTGTTTAATAGCAGTCCTAATAGTCGATAAGCGAAAAGGGACACTTTCACAGAGTGTTATGGCTTTTTCAGTATTTAGTATTTTCTCTTATTTTCGCTTTAGCATGCGGGAGATCTTGAATGAGTCACGTAGATGAGCAATCAATCATGCCTATTAATTGATTTAATTCATTTTGAACTGATTCTTGATCATTGATCCTTGATCCGGTGATCCTTGATCCTGTTTTTCCAGGAAACCACTGTGTCGAGATATTTTGATATTTGAAATATTTGTCCCGTGGTGTCTATTTACGCAACAAGCCTTGCATATTTTTAGCTACTCCAACTTTAAATGCCGATATCTAGACATCTCATCGGAATATTGGAAAAGCTTGCCCTCCTTGTATTCACTGTTGCCTTGTGAATAGGACTGTGCAGTCATTTTGCTTGTGCTGCGGCATCCAATACTCAATAATTTCAATAGAAGAACCTTTGGTTGTTTAGCGCCTGATCGGGTCCTGACACTTTCCAAAAGGAAATCTCGCTTAAATCATATTTTTTATCATTAACTGCTTTTAATACGCTTTTTTCTGTTGTATAGATTGTTAGGATTTTAGTGAGACTAGTGCGTGTACGAATTTTCTTCTGAAGGACACCCGCGAAGGTGAGGAAAAAAAGCTTGAAAGGATCAAAACAGCGGGGAACGAAACGTCTCCTTAGCTTTTTCCGTGGCCGCTTTGTCGCTTACGGTCGTTTTAACGCTGTTTTGGCGGATTTTTTTTTGTAATGCGTGTGGTGCTACTATTCAACTGTGTATAAAATAAAAAATTGAATTATAGTAGCAGCATGCGCATTCTGATAACCAATTGCAAAGACCTGTCACATTTTTGTAATCAGTGATTACACCAAGTGCGACCTACCTGTTCCTACGCAGACAAAAACTTGTCCACGGAGACAAGACGGAAAAGATCTTTCTCTATTTCTTTGCCGAAATAAAAACTTACCATCTTTCCTATTCTATTTACAAAACAACCTTGCAATTTATCGACAATTTGACAATCAGTTAATTTCAAGAATTAATTGAAATCCGCTTAAACCACTCCTTTTAATTCAATCTTCATTGTACGTTTTTCGATCGGTCACGCGCATCTCGTGAAGAACAAATTTTCCCGGTTTATATTCTTTTGGAGAACCCGCGAGGTACAGGCCAGGGCAGTAGTTCTGTCTGTTCTGGGGCCGATTTGTATTGCGGGAAATATGCGAGAAAGCCCGCGCGAAATAAAGTTACATAAACTGACAAGGTTGTAATGATGTAACGGGTAATTTTATCCGAGTCTAACCCACGACGCTTTTTAATTGTCTCGGACATTTTCGGTGAAAAACATTGTCGGCGATATCTAGGGGCTTCTCGAAAATATTTCTTAAGTCAAACGGGCTCCAAGCGCCTGGACGCGTTTTCGAGGAAATACGGTATTTTCGTTTTCCTTGGGAATTCGGGTTAGTGGGGGTTCTACTTGTATGAAGCACAATACTTATTATATTTATTATGGTGTCTTGTTTACCGATAAGAATACATAATTTTGAATCACTGTATTCCTGTCTTGAAATGGTAAGTGGGACCAAAGGCAACGAAACTCAAACCGCGTCCCAAGATTGCAAGGAGCTATGTCATCTGCCAGTGATACCCCCTTCTCAAAACAACCTAATTCCAACTCAATTGAACCAAGTTGAGTCGACGTCTCGGTTTACAAGTTTGATTTTAACACATAAAGAACTCACAAGTTGAATTCCTCAAAATGAATCAGTTTTATTTGTTCACAGGCAAGGATTCTTTGGCAGTGATTTGAGAAGTGTCCATGTAAAATCACTGCAACTCATCTAAGGGCACCGAATTTTGTAGCAGATCATGCTAGTATATTTGTGCTCCCATTCCGGGCATATTTTTTTACTTCCTTTATCTAAATTGCAATTTTTGATCCAATAGGTGCAAGACTCGCCACTGATTTGCAAATTGAAGAGCCATGTGTCTGGGTTGCATTCTTTCTTTGGCTTAGAGTCCTCTAAGGGGGAGCAGAGGGGCATATTTTTCAACCTGTCGCTTCTTGCTGTGGACAGAAAAGAAAAATAAATACCAATGATGACAGATTCTTAGGGAGGAAGTAAAGGTCGCACAATCAATAGCCATGAAAATTCGACAAGGTCAAATTATCATACTGTCCGTATCTTGGCGATGGGTCGTAACAGACCGTATTTTGAAATGTTTATCTCGGCGAGTGCATATAAACTTGTTATGTAATAAGTAGAGGCCAGCTTACGCAAGGGTGGCCATAAGACGTTTTGTATTAAATCAAAAAAGAAAGACCAGATAAAAGCACGCCGCCACGGGATAAATAACTTCCAGGTTACCAGGTGAATTTTTAAAGTAATAGGAAGTCAGTAGACGATATTCTGTATAGCTAGGTGTTTTGTTGCAGTTTTGCACTACGGACCCCCCAAAATTGATATAGAATATGAACCATCAACAAAGGGGTATTTATACATGACTGTTTATAACCAGTTCTTTTCAGGCGCCTTCTTTTTGTTATTGCTTATTTTTCTCCATAGTCTTTAGACTGAGGAATCTCGCTGTAAATAAGTTTACTTTTGTGACCGGGCATTATAATATCAGTGGAAGAAGAATTACCTGTAGACCTCAAGTAAAACTTATTTGAGCTGTAAATAAGGACGAGAAACTTGATGGATTACTATTTAGGCTCAAGAGACAAATATCGCCCTTTTTAGGGGAATTAAATTAACCCTCAAGTATCGAGGTGGGAAATGGAAAACCTTGGTTCGGTTCAACTAATCTACTTTGTTTAACTAAGTTTTTATATTTACCTAAACGGCTTTTTACGAAATTCCTTTCCTTCCCGATACCGGTTTTCACGGAGTTCAAGTCAACCTCTTCCAAGCGAATAACTGGGAACTGGCCACAAAATTCTTGAACCTGTTCACTGAGGAGAGTTTTATCAACTTCTTCTGCAACAGCCCAGTACTTTCGGACGATTTCACTGCTTTTTGAAGGAGATTTGAGCGTCTTTTATGCAAGGAAAGGCGATTGAAAGATCAGCATGATGTACGTGTGTAAGTATATGTCTATAAAAGAGATTTCATGTTGCCGTGCGTATATTCAGATCACAGATGACAACGATCGCAGGCGAGTGTGTCTTGCGGACTTCTTCTGTGACCTTTTGCTAAACAGACCCACGCAACCGTGGAATCCATTTGTTTTACGTAAAAAACGAGGCAAGATGTTGTTATTGGTGACGTCACATTTGCGTCTGCCATTAACAGATCATAAGTAAAAACCAATTAAAATGTATGTACAAGGTAGCGTATGTGTACACTCGTTTTCAAAACGTTGCAATGTGAGAATATATATGAATTGTATACCTTTTGTTTTCCATTAAAAGGGTGTCGAGTGAATAAATTATAGGGAAAAGAGAAAGAACATTAGTTAATGTAAAATTTTCCAAAGTCTTTGTTTCACAAAAAAGGTGTTGTTCCTTCGATATGAAATATTCGCACATCGTGCATCATGCACATCGTGCATCATGCACATCTATGAAGTGTAATTACCGTCAAAATTTAAGACATTCAGTTATGATGTTCAGACATCTAGTTATGATATTCAGACATGCAGTTATGATATTCAGACATGCAGTTATGATTTTCAGACATTCTGTTATGATATTTAATAGAAGAGTCGACCGTCTTATAAGGGAACATGCATCTCAGGGCCTCGAAAATGGTTCTCCAAAGAACGATGCAGTGGCCAGTGCAGTGAGCGGACGGGAAACCAACGGACGAGTACTGGAAAATGTTCGAAACTTATTTCAGCCGTACACGGCTCGCGACAATTTTAACTAGTTTCTCGAGCAGCAACAGACAGCACTTGGTGTCGGCATCGTTAGCTCCAGCTACTAAAAGAAGGAAACGGAACAAACAGTAGTGTTTTGCAAACGAGATACGTGGACGCACGAATTTTTTTGTTTAGCAGATGAAAGAGAACATGGCAGTCCCCAGCAGATCATTAAAAACAAGTTGCAACAGGCGGGTTTCACGAAAACTCAGACCCCTCGAAATTTATTTAAATTTTATTTACCAAAGAGATAAACTCGACTCGTGATCAATTCTTAACATGTCGCGTATTTTTTTTGTCACACAATCAATCCACGGGTATAGATTCACTTTGATTCAGTGCTTTTTGGGTAATTCTTTAACACGCAGTGAACATGCTGAATGCGTAGAACATTTTATGAATTAAAACTCTTACTTGGCTGTCAGTATTTAATTGAGTGCATTCTAATAGATAATTTAAGGGATATGAAGGAGGATTGAAGTTCGAAATGTCGCCTAGCCGAATAAATATTAACGGACATTCTCGAAAGTGGACAGCTCTACTTTCGGCCACCTAGTCAAAACCCCGTTTTATTCAACTCCCATACAAAGTCTGTATTTTCCCATTCTTGTGAGCGGACACTTTTTATGGCCACTTTTTTCGCTACTCGAGGGTGTCCGCTTGAGAACTTCGACTGTATACGAGTAGAGCACAGGTCAAAGAGGTTTAATAATGCAAATTTACCCATGCCGAAAACCATTGCTGCGGCCGATCGATCGCTCGATAGATCAACTCTTTTTCTGCCTCACTTGAGAACTCTAGCCCAAGGGTCGCAAAATTGTCTTCGTTTTGGGACTGGTGGGTCGAGTCTCTGTTTGTATCCATGATTGTCGCGAAATAT